ATACTGCCACAGACAACATATACTACAGACGGTCAATCTTAAGGGGAAAAAGCACGCTAAGTTTTGTTTCAAATGTCCCCTTATTTAAAAACCTGCTATCCCTCTATTTTGCTCCATCTATTAGCGCATACAACAATGTGTTGGTTCTTCTACAGATTTCTTTTATTGGAATGGTTTTGCAAATTGTCTAGGGAAAGAAGTATTGATACTTTTTTGTTAGAAAGCTGTCCCACAAGAAATCCCCATAATTTACATCTGAGGCGAAGTGCTGATAATCTTTGCAGGTACACATACAAAGCAAATATCACTTCATATTCGCAATTACGTATTACTCGTTGTCTTTGGGTGCATAAGAAACGATATAACTTGCACCACTTTTCGAATTCTCGAAAAAAGTGTAATCTCCGTGTTTGTTTATATACCTACGTACCTACTCTACTTGCCTACTGTCTCTCCGTTTGTGGAATAAATCTTGCAATCAGCAATTTAACTTCATTTAACTTGGATAAAGAAAACCTAAACGTAAGCAAATTTTCGAATGAATATTTGCCTCATATGTAATAAATCCCATTTGAGGTGTGCAATTATCGGTCAATTACAGCGGTAATTGCATTGTAGAAAACGAAAGAGCCCTGCGATAATTGCACATTTCATGGGAATACACTTAACAATTTTATAAGTAGGTAAGGTGAGTTTGTAATGTTTATTCGGGAAATATTCCCCCGAATTACACTCGTGCATCAAAATAATCCTGATAATTTTTTCGCGCATTTTCCAACGAAGTTGGGTGCGCTATTACAGCCACTTTCTCTGTCCGTCCGTCTGTCCGAGGCCTTAACTACTCCTACAGTTTTTGAAGATATTTAGTTCGTTCTTTTTGCATTCGGTAGCGTATCGCTCTGGCACCTGAGTCAAAGAAAATCTTGACGATTGAACTGCGCATGCGCAGACTGCGCAATGCAAACTTTCTTTATGGAGATATTTCTATAAAATTTTAACCAAAGATACTTATAGTAAAAGCAAACGTAAGTATTGCATTTTATAAATATCAGATTAATAAGCGCATGCGCAGGACGCGCAATATCAACTGCGCAGTGAGTGTCAACTTCCTTATTTATGAAGATATTTCTTGAAAATTTTAACCATATATGCGTCTAGTAATGAAAAACGTAGCGCACATAGGTATGGCCTTTGGGGAAGTATTGATCAATTTATGGAAAATGCGCTGAAGTTACACTTCATAATTTGTTAAAAGAGCATTTTGATGCACTTGTGCAATTACGTACGAAAATTGTCACAAAGCAAAGTTTTAATAGCGATCCTCGAGATGGTTTATAGTTTTATATCTATTACTGTCTGCCGGTTTAGTGTGTTGTCACTTCACTCAACGAAACCATGTGTATTGTATGCAAAAAAATCCCCTGAATCCGTAAATGACAGTCTAGCTGACCGGAAACTCCGGGAACATATTGCTATACACAAGTAAACGAAGAAAAAATGGGAAAATGTCGTTTTTTCGCATTTAATTAGGTAGGTATCTCGTTAACTATTCCTCTTACGGAAAAAATGAAGAGAACGAATTTGTTTAGGATCGATTTTTGTATCAGATACAGTTGGTATGATTTTTATTAAACAGAATGCCTAGGGTCTATTATAAAGTTACTTTCTTGTTCTATATCTGGGGTTTCCACTAAACTAATTCCACAGTCCGTCGATTTGCAAAACTCATCGGGACAACAGACAATTGTTGGAATAGGTTGTTTTACGGTTCCACCATCCATAAAAATATTGAAAACGCTCTGGGAGTCATCCAGTTTGAAGGACAAAGCATCGAGAAGGGCGTATCAACAAAAACAAAGTTAATTTTTGGGATCTTTTTTTGTATTTTTCCAGAAAAAACAATAACATTTAAAAATGAACGGTTCTGTATCAACCAGTGCTCGGAATGGAAATTTTCGCCGGAACGCAAGCATCAGTCCATCAGGAGGAAGGGGGGGGGGGGACATAGAAAACATGTACTACGTACATTAAAACAACGAGAAAACGTAACAAAAATTAAATGTTTCATTTTTATTGTTTCCCTTGGTGTGGAGACCAGTGGATACTAATGGGTTTCGTGTGCTGGTATGATCTGAAGGACGTATTTTCGTTTCCATGTGATTTTTATCGCATTAATGACAAATAATCCAACAATATGTAGGGTTCTGTAAAATTTCTTTGTGTGCGGGTGGAGAGGATCTGACGCTGCGGTCCCTTTACGAAAAGGAACAGTGTACAAATATTTTCGACGAAACGGAACGATATTGTAATACTTTTTACCGTTCCGGTCCATTCCGAGCCCTGGTACCAACTGAAAATTCGATTCTAAACAAATTCATTTCTATGAGCTCGAGCAATAGTTGACGAGATAATTGGAAGTCAAATGCGAAAAAAACTGCATTTTTCCATTTTTTCTTATTTTTTTTTTGTGTATAGCAATATGTTCCGGGAGCTTCCGGGCAGTGAACTACATAGAATACACTTGGTTTCGTTGTGTGAAATGCCAACATCCAGTTCAAAATACTTTTGGAGCTAATTTGACTGGACTATGTTGACCCTACACATTGACATAAAATAAAGTTCGTTAAGTGCTCCCTCCCCTAATCAAAAAAATTTGTGATGGTATTATCACAGATACATATAAGTAGGCAAGGCCGTGCGAGGGGGAGGGGCGAGGGGGGCCCAGGCCCTGGACGCCAAGTCTGGGGGGGCGCTGAAGTCGCCCGTCGTCGCCTTCGTCGGGAGCGTCAAAGGCGCGAGTGAAAGATTTACCTCGAATTATATAAACGAATCCGTACATACTCTTGTTTCGTATTTTATAAATTCAGAATCAGTAAAAATTAAAAACTGTCGCGTTTATAAAGTCGGTAATTCCATGGAGTTAGGAAATCAAACAAAAGCGCCTGATTTGCCATGTTTGATCTCAAATTGCCATGGCACCACTGATTTTCTTAAAAGCGCCAGTTTTTAATTATCCAATTTCTTGGATTCAAAGTTCAGAAAATTAAAAGCTATAGTAGTGCATGGATTCGTAATTTTTTTCCCTACAAAAAACCTAAATAGACTTTCTCTCTAAAATAATTAGAGAAGTCAATAATCAGAAATGAAAAAATTTCTATTGCAATTCCTATGGTGCGTTGAACAAGTCACCACCCGGTATAATAATATATTTATTATGGAAAAACAAAAATTATGTTTATTATTCTAACAAAATCTTTCCTTGTCCAACCTCATAATTTTATATGTGGAGGCCAAATTTAGTTTCCGCCCTTGTATAACCAAACCCGCTCCATCAATTTTTTAAATGTTTAGAAAAGAGAAAAATGAAGAATTAAAATGTATCCTATTTCATGTAATTTATGATGTTATACAAGTGAGCGCTTATCTTATCTACATAAAGGCCGGCGTTGAAGCCGAGGAAATAAGGTTTGAGTATATGTATTTTATTTTTACAAAAATGACTCCATCTATTACACACTTTTACCACACACAACAGTTTTCTGTGCGTCTACCACATTTTACGACAAATTATTTCGACTGCTGCAAGGTAGACAACACACTAACCGTACTCTATTAGGTGTTGCGTTTATTTCTATAGCATTGCATTGACCGTCTGTAGTATATGTTGTCTGTGATACTAGTTAACGTTATACCTGTAAGATAATTTAGTACTCAATCTCGTTGGCGGTGGAGGATTGATTCTTTTCTTTTCCTATCTCTCTCTCGAATGCATTCACTGCACTGGAAAATTTGTGCTGGGGGGACCATCAATCTGAATTACGTCTTGATTGGTATTCCAATAGTGTTTGAGGCAATATTGATAGTCAAAAGCTTCCTTCTTATATCCATCTGGTAGTTTATCAAAAAACTGTGCTAATTGATGTGGCACATGTCTCTTCAAATATTCAATTGGTAATTCTAGAAT